CTATGCAAGTTACACACATGTTGAATTGAGGTTAGATGGAAATTAAAAGGGACACTCCATTTTTCAGGCATTGAAGAACTATGAACCCATTTAGTACAAGCAAGTGACAGCAGCAAACCAAAAAGATTTTCCCCAGTCGTCCTTTATTATGGGCGAGCTTATGTCTTTTTGTTCCCATTCTATAAACCGCACTTCAGAAGGAATTTATGAGATATGTTACGCACATTTATATGAAGTAAGGAAACACCTAGAAGGTTTATAGGAGCCACTGCAAGCTGCTATCAGTTTATTTTTGGTTCCACTTACCTTTAGGAACCTGTTTGTTCCCAGGTCACTGGACATGCAAGGTCTCTCTCTCAAAGTTGAACAGGTATGTGCACATCATGCACTAAGTCTGTCTGAGCACACCGAATCAAAAAATAAATAATACTTGCACAAGTCTGCAATGCAGTATCATTTTCTCATTTGGAGTCACTGGGAGAAGGAGCCAGCCTTTTACAAAACCCACTGCTTAGAGTTACCGTTTAATGACTGGCATTACGAACCAACATGCAATCAGCAATATTACACTACTTCTGACCTGGGAAACTCACATATATAGTGTATTTTAGTTGAATGTTACACAATACTGTACTGCAAACGATGCAAATGGATTGCAGAAATACTAAAAATACTAAAAAAAAAACAAACAAAAAAAAAAACAAACCCCAAACATTTTATTATGATCGTAATTAAAGTTATCAAGTAAACACCTGATGTTTCCACAGATGCAGAGTCAGCATGATTGAGATAAAAAGGTTTTAAAAATATAATACTAAATAAATAAAACCGCTTACAGAATGAATACATGCCAGCAGGTTGAGTGAAAACGGGTCTGGAATAACTGCGGCAGTGTAAACTTGTGTTTACCTATAGAAAACTGCTGACTGCCTGGAAACCAAACTTGTCTTTTTATTCAGATTAAATTACACTGAGCTCATTATATTGCACTACTCTCACTTTGTAATCTTCTCCAAGATGTTTATCATTTAAAGGAGTCTTAATGAGATGCTTTTTAAACTTGCCCCCACCATTCTTCAAAGGAACTGAATTTCATCAGTCGGCACTCTATCTTCTTGACTGAAAGGGCTAGAGTCTTGCCAATATTTTGGGAAAAGATTTATATACCCTCATTAAAGCAAACTTATGAAGGTATAATTCAAAAAGGCTTCCTCCTTTGAACAGTTTTGCATTCAACAAGTTAAGTGATGTGCCTCATTTAATGGCTTGCATAACCTAGTGAATACAGCACGATCACAGTTTAATCCTTTCCCTGCCAATCAAGGCTACAATGTGAACAATACCAGTCTGATTACCCGCGAACGAACATATATACATAAAACTTGTAGATAAAGCCCCCTTTACAGTCTCAGAAATAAAGGTGACACACTCAAAATCATTTAATTAAAAAAAAAAAAAAAATTGGATTATTGCAATGCTTATCTGACTATTAAAAAAGGGTCACGTCATTGTTCAAATAAATACACAAACTGTATGATGGAGCTCCTTCAAAAATCTAATTATTAAGCCAAATACTTACTCAGCACAATTTGGGCACAAAACCTGGCTACTCGCAGACAGAACACTCTGCTGACTGCTATGTTTAATACTGCAAAGTTCCTGCGTGCATAGGCTCCGTTGTACATCTCTGCGACCTGCTAACATACTTGAAGCAGAGGAGGTGCTTCTCTGTGAATTTGATTGTGTGCATGGGTCTGGGAGATCCAGTGCAAGCGCATGCTTCCTCACATCACTCTGGACCACCACAACACCTCACGGCTCTGGACTACAGATAAGACACTGCAAGGTGAGGGCTTGCCAAGACATCCCCCTTAGGGTACCGGAGGCAGAGGGCGTTGTTGCCGTCAGCAGCAGGATGGCGGTCCAGGGAACCAGTGTACGGACATGGCCAGACCTCGGGGAACAGCCTACTGGAGTGTGAGGTGGCCCGGGACCGGTAGTGGATCCTAATAAGCCAAACTGGACTTCAACGCTATATATGTTGTATTTCTTAATTTTGGGCTAAACAAGTTTCTTATACATTGAATATATATATATATATTCCTGATGAAAGTCCCGGAGGAGGACTGAAACGTCGAGCTGCTACATTTTAAAGATGTTTAAATAAAATTCTGGATTTTAACCTCTATTTAAAACCGTGAGTGCTGGCCATTTTTTGCTCGATAGAGATATATATATATATATATATATATATATATACACACACACACACACAGATATATAAATCCCTGTTTAGTAGATCTGCCCAAACAAAAACCATGCATGCATTTATACTTTCTTATCATCATCATCATGATCATCAGTATATTTTCAACCAGCACTTCTCTTGCCTGCTGGCTTTGTAACCCCCACCCTCCTAACACTGCCCACACTTTCTGTGGCTGTCCAATCAGACTTCACAATGCAGCTAAATGGGAAGTCTTTGCAGGTGCTCTGAGCAATTGCTGCCAGGAAGTAACAGAAACTGCTGTTGGCTTTAAACACAAGGGAATGTAACAAGATTAGATTATAAAATTGCAAATTTCTATTGAAGTCTTTTTTTTTTTTTTGTTTATGTAATGAAAAAAGACACACTCTTCATACACAAGGCATTTCAGCAAGCTTTAGAGTTTGGAGTGTCCCTTTAAGCAATCTGGGCTTCTGAATGCAGGTATATTTTTGTGAATTTATTTAATCTGAAAATTGGTTAACCCAGGAATGGTTTAACAGTTCAGAAATGAAACTGGTGCGCAGGAGGATGCAGAAGCATAGTGCTTCCAAAAATGAATGTTAAAATTTCTTTTGATTCATAGAATGCCAATACAACGAAGACCCACAGTGATGTAAACAGGCAGATTTCAATACAAGGAGTAAATATGGTCCGTGGAACTGCACAGTGAATAAAGCATTGAGGGCATAAAAGCTTCATATGCTGGCAGAGGTTATTTTCCAGCTGACAATGAGGAAAATTCAGCCCTCAAATAACCCATGGTACCAGGTAGCCATTGCAACAAAGAATGCATGTAGCGAATTTGTAGGATATTTATAAAAATTTTAACCATAGCATAGCATAAATGCAATCTAACTTACACATCTAAAACAAAACCACAAAAAGAGAAAAAAAATAAAATCAAACCACACGAGTCTGGTATGTCCCTATAAATATATCAACCATGCCACATGTCCACTTTGCTCACAGCCTTACTTGTCCATGCTGGATGGTTAAACCATGATATCGTGGTTTCCTGATGTATCTGTACAGTAGGTAGTTTTCACGGTTGGCACATGGATGCTATAACTAGGCTGCACTAATAGGAGCGGTGAGGAGTAAAGGAAGCAAGGATTGTTTGAGGTATCTATTATCAACAGAAATTGATGGTTCCTGGTAAGACAGCTAGTGGTTTAGATTCCAAGTCCATTTCCTGGCCTACTTCTGTGGTAAAAAAAATTCCCAAATGGTTAGACCAGTAAAGAGCCCATGGCAAAGCATGAAAGATTACAAAGCACAATAGGAGCAATAAATCGACGTAACCATTTTGTTGTAACAAACCAGAATGATGTTTTAGAGCAGATGTGTCTAAGAATATGAATAAATATTCCAGTGATAAGGTAAAAAACAAGGATTCTGCAGATTCCACTTGAAAGTTCTATCAGAATGTCACAAGGTTTTCAATGCGTTAACTTACACATATGTGAATCATATATGAATATTTTATATCATAACAATAGTAAAATAAAATAGAGTTGTTGCAAGAGATTGTGAGAGACGCCTCAACTTGAATAAACACATTGTCAGAAGTAGCACAATTTAAAATATAACGTCCTTGCTGAAGTCCTAATGACTTATGGGGTAAAAAACACTGATTTAATTTTTCAGGGATTGCATTGTGAATGCAGATATTAATGTCAAGTGACTCAGATTTTGGGATCCACCACCAGACATTGCTCTCTAAAACTGGTTATCACCATAGGAAAAATGAAATCTGAATATAATAAAAAAAAAAATCAATCTATCTATCTATCTATCTATCTATCTATCTATCTATCTATCTATCTATCTATCTATCTATCTATCTATCTATCTATCTATCTATATATATATATATATATATATATATATATATATATATATATATATATATATATATATATATATATATATATATATATATATATATATATATATATATATAAAAAAAAATTTGTTGACACTATATAAATAATAATATAATAATTGCCAATGTGGTTGGATTCCCCCCCCCCCCTTTGAATAACAGCCCCTGTACTCAAGAGGAAGCCATTAGAGACCATCAGGGTTATTCACTAAGCACTGGATTTTGTTGAGGACGACCGAAATCCAACCACATTGGCAATTATATTATTTTATTATTTATATAGCGCCAACAAATTCCGTAGCGCTGTACAATGGATTCTCAGATTTACTAAAGCCAAGTGCGGTCAGGATTTAGTAGGCCCGACCAATTCTGTTACCTTGGTTCAGATGAGTTTTTGCGAACCCCTGCTCTGGAAGCATGTTAAAACAACAGAGACATTTTTAACATGATTTAGGAAAGTCTGGAGGGTAATGGTCTTCCTGCCCCCCATCCCTGGGCTGGCTGCATGTTTGTAAATGATCACTTGGTTTTTGCTAGTGAATTGTGAAGAACTACTTGCCCATTGGCAGCAATAGCAGTGGGCTGCTAGACTGATTATCCTACCAATGGCACAGTCACAGCAAGGTGTGGTAAAAAAAAACAAAAAAAACTTAACAACAAAAAAATAAATAAATAAATAAATAAAAAACACACACCTTTGCCATGCGATCAGAGTTGGGTCAGTAATCTAAACAGACACTCACAGACAGAAACATTTTCTTACAAACCAACATATTTTTTATTTTTTTATTTTAATTTATGTCCACTCAGCTTCCCTACTATTGGGAGAGCTGGAGTGGACCCTTACCCTGGGGTCCAGTGTTGCTTGTGTATTATTCAAGCTCTTCTTGCTTTGCTCCCTCGCTTGACGTCACAGCGGGGCGCGCAAGGGAGTAGTGCAAAATGACATAGAAATGAAGTGGCCTCAATGACTTTAGTGGTCCTTTAAAAAGGGAGAAACATGACACACAGAGCAATTCTATGTTTTTGCTTCGCCTGTTAAATTAGGTAAATACCTACAGATAGAACATATTGATGGTAACAGTTCCAAAACTGTAGCAACACAAAAAGAAAACACAACCAAAAATCAGACTGGTAAACCATCTACTTAAATTCATTATAAAACACATCCAAAGTACAAAGAAAGGCTACACGGACATTATATCAGTGAAAACAGGCAGGTTGGGGAAGGACTATTACGAACTCAAACATTGTGTGGGATGACCTCTGGTGGCCAGAGTAGAATTGCAAAGCTTGCAAAAAGTTGCAAGGGTGAAAATAGATGCCTAATGTTTATAGGCAATTATTATTCCTCCTGCAGTTCCAAACTACAATCCCTATAATGATAAGCAAGATAAACAGTGAAGCATCTTTGGAAACAAAGATCACAAAAGCATGAATTATATACAGCTAATTGAGTACTATAACAGCCATTTGTGGACAAAAACCAACACAAAAAAAAAAAACTTCTACAAGACTTCTTTCTGATCAGCCATACAGAAACATGAGACAAATTACAGATCTTGCAGTCAAAGGTTTATCGTAGGGTGTGCAAACACCTACTGTATGACATGTAATAAATCTATCAGTTGATTAATTTTCTTCATGAAGTGTGTGTTTAGTGCGCTTTTTTTTTTTGATGTCTGGAAAGTAGGAGAAAGCATCTTATGTGGCACATGTAAACTGCCTTAAATACTAAGGATTACAGAACAACTGCAAAAAGGCACTGCTGCACATGAGCCGACAGCTTGCTGGTGCAAAAGAGCAGCAGAATAGCCAGTCAAGGTTAATATTCTGAACTACAAAATGTCTGAAAATATCCCTTTTCCCAAATGTAATGTAAATTAAAAAAGGAAAATAAATAAAATGATGGGCCTGTTTGTTACACTATGGCACAAAAAGAAGAAAAGCCATTGTTACTTACTTCTTACATCCTGTAGGAAGTCCAAGCAAGGCCTGCTAGCTCCAGAAATGCTTAATGATACGGCCAGTGGTGTCTGACCTTCATAGTTTCTAGTGTTCGTGTCTGCCCCGTAATTGTACAACATGCGAGCGCAGAGAACATCATCCCGCAGGGCAGAGAGGTGAAGTGGAGTTTGCCCATCTTCCAGCCTCCCTAAGTTTGTATCAGCACCCCTTTGCAGAAACATGCGGCAGTATGAATGGTTGCTTTTTATCACAGCATAGCGAAGCAGGAACCCGTTTTGAATATCAATGTTGGCGTTGTGGTCCAAGAGGATCTTTACACAGCTGGATCGTTCTCGGATAATAGCAAGTTGCAGAGGAGTTGTGCCCTTGTCACTCAATGGGTCCACCTCAGCTTTGAACTCCAAAAGCAGCCTGACAAAAGAGTCCCTGCCATAGTGGGCAGCCACATGCAGGGGTGTCCACCCATCATTGCTCTTTGCATTGATGATATCACTGCGGTACTCAGACTCCAACATGAGGCGTGCAATTCGTGCCCTTCCATGCATGGCGGCATAATGTAACGCTGTGAAGCCACCTATCAAGTCCTTCACTGTAGGGTCCGCTAAACAAAGAGAGAGAAAAATAATGATGCATATGTTCAGAATATAAACCAAAATACCCAAAAGGCAATGTAATTCAAATAACTCAAGCACTCCGTTAAAGTATAGAAAAACCACTCAACAGATTAAAAAAAAATAAAATAAAAATAAGATGTAGAATATAAAAAATAATATTTTTTAAAAAATGCAAAAATAATAGGCTTTTATAGTTGTCATACTTTTTACCAATATTGCTCTGACACAGGAAAATGCTCAATTGCACCAGACAAAGAGGATCCCAAAAGCGGTCTAACTGGAGGTCTGGAGAACTGATGAACATGACCCTCCATGGCCCCCCTTCAGAGGCTTTCTTAGGACCCTTGGTCAATCTGAGGTTTTATTTTAATAAAGGCCTACAGCCCATTCCATGGACCTAGTAAAAAAAGACAATATTCAAAATGCTTTGAGAGAACACCATAAACACTAGAGAAACTAGGACATGTGTCAATTTACACTAACGTGATTCCGGTTTTCCTAAATGCAACAAGTCCATCCTCTTGAATTCCTACAAGGGCACTGCATTTTGCAGGACACACTAATCTTGCATCATAACAGTGATAGCTTTGCTAAATGTGTGATTGCTGTATGCAATCCAATCTAATCTAATTGTGAAAGAGAATTATCATGAAAGGGACACTCCACACACCATAAACACTACACGTACTGTACTGGTTATGGTGCCAAGAGTGCCCTGGCTACATTCTAAAGGAAGTAGTCAAACAGATTTAGAGAGAAATATGGCAATATATTGGGTTTTTTTTCCCCCTACTCAAAAGATTTCAGATTGTACAAGCAGAGAAAATGGTATGCTCATGTGAATGTGTTTTCTTGCCCATGCTAGAGCTATTTTTGGAAAAAATTAACAGCACTGTGTGATAGCACCAAAAATTGGAAATATCTAGCCCCTCCCCCCCTTATTAATAAATTATAGAAAATCTTTTTGTATGTATGTAATGTCCCTAAATGCACTTCCTGGGGAGTGGGAGCTGGGTGGAGAAATCTTTATTTTATAAAATTATTTAAAATGTGTTTGGTGCATAGAGTGAATGTTGATAATATCTGAATTTTTAAATTCTCTACCAGGTTTATATAACAAAAAATAAAAAATAAATAAATAAATAATAATAAAAAAGAAAAATTATATATATTTTTTTTTTTAAAGCCATAGATTTCAGTCATGCATTATGCATTTCTTTATATCAGCTCCCTTAGTCATATGGTAAAATTAAGAAAACAAGTTAATATAAATAAAATGCATGGATAAGTCCCCTCTAAACTGAACACAATGTACCAAGAGACGCTTAAATAATGTTTGCTGTGTTTGGAAATGCGACAAGCCACACAGAAACAGATTACCTAGAGTCCTTAGACCTTTCGTGCCAGACAACAGGAAATCCGCAGATGTTTTAACATGGGCTTTCTCTTAAGGAAAAATGGAAGCGAGGAAGTGGATGCAAGAGTGGACACAGTGGGGTGTTAATGCTTGTCAAATGAATGTGTGCCATTTATAATATTTCATACATAGAGGTGCATACTGCTTCTCCATTAGCTACCAGGAATATCTCAGTGTAGAAAGTAATGTATGGGGGATTCAAGTTACGTTTTTTAGGAGCACAGATATTTTGGATAGTAGTGATTCTCTACTGCACAGCAATAACAGTTTCAGTTGCAATAAAGGAGTTCAAGCATCAGTTGGTGCTTGCAAAATGCTTTAATCTGGTTCCAATTTGCTTTTGACAGTTACCTAAATCAAAAAGTCTCTGAAGGCACCTAAAATGTTAACCAAGTATCCCCTGCTGTAATTATGTCAGGGCTTGACAAATTTTCTTGGAATCTATGAGCCAGCTAAAAAAAAAGTTAGGAGCCAGGTTTTTCAACGTCAAAAATACAATCCTTAAAGGGACACTAAAGTCACCAGAATCACTACAGATGTGACATTGTTGTAATACGGTTCTGGTGTTTATAGCCTGTCCGTGAACACTTTTCAATGTAAACACTGCCTTTTCAGAGAAACGGCAGTGTTTACATTGTCATTAGAAGTGTTCCTAGACAGCAGTCAGATGCCCAATAGCGGTGTGTCCTACGTTCAGAGGCACAAGATTATCTCAGCCATGGAGGAGGGGCCAATTGCAGCAAGACCAGAACGGAGGGGGGGTGAGGTGGAGGAGGAGGGGGTTTACCGTGGAGCTGCTGTCATCTTCCTGCTCTTCTCCCTACAACACTGTTTAGGGATTCCGTCTCCCAACATCACTGGAGGGCAGCTCCCTCGCTGCCCCTCTGCCCTTGCTCTCCCTGAGCAAGCCGGCCACCTGTAGCCGCTCTGCCAGTCGGCCACCCACATGCCTCCACTCAGAGTCAGCCAGCCACCTCAGGGGCTGAACAGCCAGACAAATCCCAGTCGCTATGGCAACCTGGGATTTGTCAAGCCCTGGCCCATGACAAGATTCCTTTAACTAGCCAGAAGTAATGGGAGTTTGAGGGCAGGACTAGTTTCTTTGTGTATGTAAAGTTTGCAGCTACTATTGATTAAATTGGAATTTAAACCACGTCACTGAACAGGTTACATCATGTGCACGTTGTACACCTGAACGAATACGGTTTCTATGTAACCTTGATCCATGATGGTATTTTGCTGGATGACACGATTTTGGGTCGCAGAATATTCTTACTTGACAAGAATATGAACCATGTTTTCGAATGGACAATGGTTTAGTGTTTATTATTCCCTTCTAATTACCATAAAGTGTTAATTTATATAATGAATATTTGTCTAAAAATCTTTAATCCCTCCCCCTTTTCTCCCCCCCCCCCTTCTGAGCTTAAGCACACTGACAAAGACAATGACATTTTGCACTTTAAAGATGAATCCATTTTTTCTTCCAAATGCAGAGTTGCTCCAAATGCAGAGTTGCTCCAAATGTGTTTTTGTGTTATACTATAATACATATAATTTTGATAATTGGCTTGCAAAAACCAAGTTAATAACAATATGCAAATGTGCAGCTTATTGGACTTTCAGACAAAAAGAGTGGAGTGATATCTGTGCATGACAAATATACATATCCAAGTTTAACATCAGAGTATGTAAAGCTTTTTTAGCCAAATGTTGTCCATTCGGTGTTTAGTGAATTACTTTGTATATTGAATAAACTGGAAGGAAAAAAAAAAAAAAAATGCAATACTGGAATAACTAGAATGTTAAAATTGCTTTAAAAAAATAAAAATAAAATAAAAGGCTTAATTATTATAAATTAAGAGACAGTTAAATAAAGAGGTAAGGTTTAAAGTATTTGTTTTAAATTCAAAAAGTCTGCTTAAACATCAAGGATCTCATCATCAGTACTTTCTTTCATTTAGAATATATATATATATATATATATATATATATATATATATATATATTAGTTTTTTCAAAACATACATGTAGGTAGGTGTTGAAAAGAAGAATGAACGCCAATATTACTAAACTTTGGTGTGCTGCCACCTTCTGGAATAAAATAATACTGCTGCTTCTCACAACACATCACACACGTGTGAGGATAGGCCACCTTGCACCCAAAAACTGATTCAGAGGGGGAGAATATGTCCAACCTGTAATGTTTTACAAAGATATGAAACGATGACCATGTTGCAGCCTTACAGGTATCCAGCAGAAAGTCAGAAGGCCTTTCTGCCCATGATGTTGCCATTACCCTGGTGGAGTGAGCCTTTCCTGGAAAAAGGAGATTACGACCTTCATATGCTAATTTTATAGTTTCTGTAAGCTATCTGGCAGTAGTGGGTCTAGAAGCCTCTTTACCTCCGGAGGAATCTTTAAAATGATTAAATAGGTGATCTGAATTACTGTAATCTGCTGATCGGTGGAGGTAAATTTCTAAGGCTCTCTTTTTTTGTTTTCTGCTTCAGATGATTGAGTTTGGAAACAAAAAAAAAGGCAGAATGATAGGTTGGTTGATAGTCTGTCTTGAGATCACTTTAGGCTAAAAAGGAAGGTTTTGAAAGCAATACTACTTTGTCTTTGTGAAAAAATAAAAATAAAAAATGTGAATTCCACAGATGATTAAAGTGCCTGTAGTTCTCCAATCCTCCTAGCAGAAGTGACTGCAACCAAAAATGCGGTCTTTAATGAAAAAAAAAAAAAATCTTCAATGGCACTTCTAATGGTTCAAAGGGTGCTTCGCACATAGCCTTCAGAACTGCTGACAAATACCAGGTAGGGAAAGAAGAAATCCATGGAGGATTCTTAATAGAAATGGCTTAAAAATTTTTTAAAAAGAAGGTTATAAGCCAAATCTTGCACAAAGAAATATCTAAGGGCTGATACTTGGACTTTAAGTGTACATATCCTAAGTCCTCCTTGGAAACAATCTTGCAAAAACAAAAGAATGCATGGAATAGAAGGTTTATAAGAAAGACCATCTTTTTTCAACACACCAATGAAGAAACTTGCCATATTCGGAGATAAATCCTAGTTGTGGATTTACGTGTTGAAGACAGAATAAGATCACTTATATTGTCAGTAATACCATGCTCTTTAAGGCATATCCTTGCAACAGCCAAGCAATCAATCTGAACATCCTTAATGTTTCTACGGGTAGATCTTTGTTTTCCAGGATTCTATGAATACGGAAGTTGCCTATCTCTGAGAACCAGCTTCTGTTTGGCCAGAGTGGGATAAAACACCAATACTCTTGCTTTGTCTGATCTTCTGCACAAATCATAGAGACCAAGATGGGAAAGCATAGGCAATTCAGAATTTCCACAGAATTGACAGACTGTCCAGGAAGTGTGGGTGATCTTGTCTCAGAAGGGATGCAAATGTTGACACTTTCCTGCTCTCTCTCAGCCATATGTTCTATATTTGGAAAGCCAAATATGACTGGGTGAAGTGACCACTCCACCAGTGTCCAATGAGGCCTGCTTAGATAATCTGCTATGATGATTTTCAGTGATCCTTTCATGTA